ATTAGACAGGATGAACAAACAAAAGGAGGTCGTATTGAGTGTTAAAATGAGGAAACTACAATACCTGGGACATATTACACGTGGGAATAAATATCAACTGTTACAACTAATTATGCAAGGAAAGATTGAAGGTAGGCGCAGCATAGGTAGGAGAAGAATGTCATGGTTGAGAAACCTCAGGGAGTGGTTTGCTTGCACTTCCATACAATGTTCCAGCGCAGCCTCCAGGGTCAAAATTGCCATGATGATAGCCAACCTTCGTAGCGGAGATGGCACGTGAAGAAGAAGAAGAGAGTTAATCTTCTTCTTATGGTGCCCTATCCAATTAGTGGATGTTACCGACAATTCTGGCATAAGTATGTTGTGTGGCTCTAAAGAGTGCGTGGGCATCGAGGTTTGTCATCCCTTATGTTTTTAAGTCATGAGTATTTCTTTCTTCCGATGTTCTGGTTTCCGTCTATCTTCCCTTCCATAATAAGCTTTAAGAACTGGTACATGGAATTTCGAAATATATGACCCAGATAACCAGTTTTTCTTCTTTTTATTATTGGCAGCAATTCTCGTTCTCTGTCCATTCGGTTTAATACTTCGACATTTGTTGTATGATCTGTCCAGGAAATTCTAAGTAGTCTTCTAAATACCCACATTTCAAAGGCCTCCAATCGGTTATGGTTAAAGTATAGCAGTATGGAGTAAGTGTAATATTTTACAAAGCTATATCGAATCATTAAGTTAAGGCTGCTGTTGCTTAGCAAGGTTCTCATATTAGTAAATGCTGTTCTGGCTTGCTCAATCCTGCTACGTATTTTTATGTCTAGATCTAAATCTTCAGTTATCCATCATCTTATATTTAATTGCATATTTCGTGTTCTACTAACCACCATTTTCTTCATCTTGTCTATATTAATCTTCAACCCAGTCGTTTTTCTTCAGTGTTTATTCTTTGCGACTAAACTTTGTCTAAAATGCGACAAAAGTACTGTTCTTATTTGATTAAGCATGTGATAAATTATTTTTAGTCTCAAAATACACTCTGAATTTATTTCCCTATGCTAACTTCAGTTTGATCTATTGAAAATGATTGTTTTTTTAACATTCTGATGCAAACTAATTCTAAAATAAAAAATACCGAAACAGATAAGGAAAATGTAATCTTAATTCCTATATCATAAAGATAAATATAAGTATCATTACAACTTAAAAATCGCAAAGTCTATATAGATATCGTAGATAGCGATGTAGAATATGATATCAAGTATCTAGTAGATATATATACATCTGGACACAGCTTTTTAATGTAATATTAACAATATCTATGTAGGTAAGTTGTTAAATTCTCTTTTTTCGTGGAATAATTCTCGATTAAAAGAAAAGATATTATCTATAAAAGGTAACTCTATACATCCAATAAATTCCACACTAAAAAATCCTTTTTTCCAGTTTTATATTAAAAACTAGCTGGAACTCAAAATTTACAATGTATTTCTGAATTTTAGTAGTTTTTTTCTCAATAAACTATCTAATGAGAAATAAATATTACTTAAATTGAAAGTTAAATTATCTAATGAATGCCACTGGATCTAATTATTACAACCTGACTTTATATTAAAAAAACGACGAGACCCAAAGTCGCGTATACACGACTAGCCCGCTGCGCTGGTCGACAAGATGGCGAAGCACATTACGCTTAGCGGGAGTCGAGGAGTGGTCCTTGGATATATAGCGGCGTTTCACGTTCTACACTTTGCCTCCACCTCTTCATCCGCTCCCCCTTGCTCGGTCTCTTTCTACATCCATTGTCTTTGACGCTCCTCCCAATCTGGTAGATTTAATATACGAGTGTGTCGGTTCGTCTATTGCCGAGCTTTGAACTTTTGATACGAAATTCTTCGATTAGCGCTTGAGATGTACTACTCTTACACTTTGAGATGCTGGTTATTAGGCACCAGTAATTTATTTAAATATACAAATAATTCCGGTTCGAAGGACCATCAAAATTGATGCTACAAGAATAAATAGTAGGAATTCATATTTTTCATATGTGTTCTCACTCTAGTCATCTCCAAACTAATATGAAAAATGAAACATGCGTAAATTTATAAGGGAGAAAAAGTATTTAAAGTTGGAGACTGATTAAAAGCCTACATACATCAAGAGAGAAAAATTCATGCTTTTACTGATTACCGTAGATGAATGGGAATAGTATATTAAAGATTTCCTCTCTGAGAATAAGGTAAAGTTCCTGAATAACAATCATACAAGTCACAACAGAATATGTATGGCAGCATTATGTATTAAAATAACTATTAAAGAAGTGAAAGATATAATGCAAGTCATCAAAAAATAGAAAAGCCGTAGGCCCAGGCAAAATACTTGCAGAATTAATTAAACACGAAACTCAAAATAGACACAGACGAAATAAATATATAGGGTTTAAACTTATTATCTCTCAAATTTAAATGTCAAACAAACTGATCATATATATCTAGACATTTCAACCAATTTGTATCTACAGGATGATTCATTATGAATGTCTAATCTCTGAGTTGTAGATTCTAGATAACATACTTTAAACAAATATTGCTAGTTTCCGAGATATTGGCTGTTTAAAGTTTAAATATGGATTTTAATTTTCGCAAGAATTTTGTATGTTTTCACAGTTTCTATTTAAAAATACCCAATTTTACGTTTTTTGTCATGTTATTGCTAAGTTAGACTCTAATTTAGCGTTGCTAATAGATGGCGCTAGTTACGCTTAGTTGTGTTTGGTACGTCAATCAAAGCAATTTTTTTTTCACCTGAACTATGGGTGAAATAATACAAAAATATGAAGGAGCGTTAAATTCTACAAAAAAAGTTACGCTTGTTTAATTCATGTAATGATCGCTATCGAGTCATTTGCTTTTAAAAAGTCGAATGAATTTTAATTTTACAATAAAAAATTTTATTCTCTAAATTTGTAACAATAACAAATTAAAGTAAAAAAATAAAAAACTTTAAAATAAATGTTCAAAAAGACCATCATTTACTTCAATACACCTTGTAATCTCGTTTCGCAAGTATCTTTTAATATAAAAAATAAACCTTGTCTATTATTTTTAATCACATTACACATCTCACACAAGAGAGTTAATTTTTTTTTGTAAATTTATGCAAGCAAACTCACGTTCACGACCAATCAATCAATACGAAAACTGTTGATTAAGGTATGATGAACTTCTAAAGAATGATGTGGCGGTGGACCGTCGTTAAATTAAATAATCATCATCAACCTGTATGCGTCCACTGCTGGGCATAAGTCTTCTTCAGCACTTTCCATCTGCCTCTGTCTTGTGCGTCTTGCATCCAGTTACCGCTAAGACGCTTTAGGTCATCAGTCCATCTGGTTGGTGGGCGCCCTCTGCTCCATAGCGCTTCTTGTCTTGGTCTCCACTTGACAATACGTTTTGTTCATCGGTTGTCTGATAATCTGGCGACGTGTTCTGTTTAATTCCACTTCAGCGACGCGATTTTTTTCGATGGCGCGTGTTGATTTTGTTTTCTACGGCGTATTCCTTCATTTGGTATTCGGTGTCTCAGAGATTCAAGGTGGATCTGGCGCTCCATAGCCCTCTGAGTCACGCGAATCTTATTCACTACCTTTTTTGTGAGTGTTTCCGCTCCATACGTGAGTACAGGTAACAGAATTGGCCAAAAATTTTCCTTTTGAGAAATATGGATAAGTCCGATTTAAATACATAGTTTAATTTAATAAACGCTATTCAGGCTAATCCTATACGACTTGGGAGCAACACATGTCTGCTTATCTCTGCCCAACCTAATTTCATATTATAAGTACTAATACGATGCAGTCTGCACAATATCTCTTCCATCAACTGCTCTATCCAACTATCCTGCTCTTTCAGATCTGCCTTCATACAATTATGTTCTTGGAGAGACGATGTCTCTTTGTCGCATTCCTCGCTGTATACAGAATTTATTTGTTTCTTTTCCAGATAGTCTTACTAGCTGTAGCATTTTGGTAGATATATTTGACAGTGTTAGTGTAGCGATGGTCTATTCATTCTGTAAATGCTTTTAACATTTTCTGCTGGATTATGGTATCGAATGCTGTCTCGCAGTCCACGAAATTTGAGTGCCAATGGTTTGTTGTATGTATTCTGCAGACTTCTCTATCAGGTTCTTTATCACTAGTAAGTGGTCGTTACTGCTGTATCCTGATCTAAATTCAGCTTGTTCGCTAGGTTGATGTCTCAGTCTTTTTTTGATAATTATATAATGTTGTCTTCTTGCTTGTGTAATAAACCAATGACTGCATTGTTCCATTGAGAAGGTTCCATTTTTACTTGGTGCCGTTCGGTGAAAAGTTTAGCTAAAGCGTGGTTGTTTTATTTCCTCCTAGTTTGATCGCCTTGATCACTACTTGTATCCAAAATAAACATTAACCGTATGGTGGCAATAATATACAAGTTTGACACTATTAACCTAAAACAGAAAAATAGAAGACCAGAGACAATTTTACAAAATTTCTCTTTTTCTACCAAATATTTATGATTTTAAAAAAATTGCATCTACACTTAACTGCCTAAGGAAATAGTTGTTGGCGGTTTTCTTTAAAACCATATAGTAAATGGTACTTGGAGGGCTTGTGACTTACCTACTTGTGCTTCTAACATGACTAACGGTAATAAAAATTGAACAGTTTATAAATACAGATTTTTCACAGAAACTTATGTTGAGTTGACAATAAATGATATTAACTGTCAACATTACAATATAGTTAACTCCAAAAGTATTAACTTTAAGCAAATTAAACCCTATTTTTTATGCTATTTGAAAGACAATTGATTTCTTGATTATTCTGTACAAATTTTCAAGGGCTTCTGTCTATAGAAAAAGGTATTTTTGTATTTTTATCTTATTTCCTTTGTCTGTTAAATATAATGATATTTGTTCTTATTTATTATTTTACTAATATATATCTCTTTTTGTTATTACAGGATATGGATTTGATTGAAGTGTTGTGGAAGCAAGATGTGGATCTTGGTTTCACCGTTGACAATGTGGTACCGAAACAGGAAAAAGAAGACATTAAGCTCGAGCCAGACGACGCAACTACATCTATATCGAAAGACGAAGAATTAGAGAAAATTAAAACTCTACAGTCCGTTAATGAAGATTCTATCAAGGTAAGATGTAATTTATATTTTATTCATTATATTGTATCTATAATACAATGTAAAAATTATTTTATACAGAAATAATTTATCCTTGATAATACTGAATCTTCCGATCTGATGTAACTTCCTTTATCTGAGATGTGGATTTCCACCGGGGATACATTTTGGTGTGTGTTTTTTTATTATAGTCATTCTTCGTTTCCTCTAAAGAGTTTACAAAGCTCTTTCTTGAAGGACCTATTAGTGATTTCTTTTCTCCTCTGCCAAGGCATGTCCATTAATCTAAATGTTCTGTTATCTGTTGTCTTAAAGATGCAATTGATATATTACAGAAGGGGAGAGCGTACCCCTAGCGTTTTGGCCAAAACCTCCTGTCCTATCAAGTCTGTTAGAATCAGCCTATTGTTCAACACTGCTCTGATGTAGTTGCATATGATGGTGTATATCTGTTTTTATGATGGTACGTCATAAAAAAAAATTGGTGGTGCAATATTAAATGCGCCTTCTATGTCTAGAAAAGCGGTTAACAGAATCTCTACAATATTAATGCAATGACTGATTTTCTGAACAATTTTTCGTCCCGTGCTGTTTCTGTTGATTTTCCTTGTTGATATGCATGCTGGTTGCCATTGAGAGAATGATCCATCAATGGATCTTCCTTAATATGTCTACCAAGATTTTTTTTATTGTCTTCAACAAAAATGATCGGCCTGTAGGATTTAGTGAGGGTGTTGTCTTCTCGTCCTATTTATCCTTACAGTTGTCCAAGTCTTTGGTATATAACCAAGTGCTATTCTAGCTCTAAAGATCTTAGAATGGACAATAAAATGTCCAGTATTTTTGGTACTAATTCCATCCGCCCCTGAAGATTTAACTGGAGCAAAGTAGTTTATGACGCAGTTTACATGCTCGGGTTTGGTGTTTTATACAGATAATTCTCCAGTCTTCTTTTTTAGGACGTTTAGGTCTTGCTAGGTTTCCAGTCTGAGTCTGCTGATCAATAATTGTTGATCCTGCGAAGTGGTTATGTAATAAGAGCCATGTCAAATTATATAAATCTGATCAGTCATGACACAAAAAACTGACCGCCTTAATAATTAAATAAAATTAATGCATGAATAGTAATTTCGTTAATGACTAATGAATTAATATTGAAATGTATTTTCAGCAAGAAAAAGAAGACGATCCTTGGTCCGGATTTGACTACACCATTGATACAGAAACCGGTAAGTTATATTTTGTACAGAACATATTTTTTTATATATTCCAATAACTTACAAGAGTTAAATAATAAATACTTCTTGATTTTATTAATAATATCGCAAAGATTGGTACACCCATTTATAGGCCAGTAAATGAACTTTTTAGGGGTAAAAACTACCCGTATTAAAAAAAAATCGTATAATTGTAAATTAAAGCGGGTAATTGATTTAAATAATCTTTTAATGCAATTAATGAATGTCAATTAATATTAAAAAATATAATATAAGACTTTATCACAGTTTAACCCCTAAATATCACCCCCTAGAATAGTCATACCTAATTAAAACAATGTCACTGAATAATTTGTCTCCACTGATTTGCATGGAAATTTGGATGTCTTCTGAAAATCTTCTGAAAATTTGGAGGTTATACTTACACTCCACATCAATATTAAACTTGTGTCGTAGGTTGCTTTATATTTTTAGGGGTGGAAACGACCCCTATTAGAAAAGAATCATATAATTGTAAATTCAAGCAATTTGAAATTATGAATTCTATAGAAGAATACAGATTCTTGTAGAAACGTCCTACTCTTCCCAATATTCTATGAAGAGACAAAGAGAAGGTCTCTTTATCTCTTCATTTCTATTTCGGTTACTTACAGTTCTTTGATTATCATCTTTCCTTCTAGTTTTTTTTTATTACATTTTTCTCTAATTACTTGTAAATATGGACACTACGTTGACAAACTGTAGGGGTTGATTCTTTTTTGGTTTAAAATGCCAAATTTATCTATATTACACTGTTAAATTGTTTTTTCAATCTCAGATCACTATTAGTTTTGAGCAAATGTTTAGATCTAAACCACAAATCTCATAAAACTATTTCAAATAGGATCGTTTTTATTAGCGGTACTTTCAATTCCCTATATTATTTCCTGCATTACCCAATTATTTTTTATTCGAATGATATTTTACATGATCCTTGTATAAACAAAACGGAACTTCGTTACGCAGCTTTTTGCAAGTTGGAAATGACTTTTCAGACTTTGTGTGGACTGTGATGATAAGGCACAGTCAACAATACAAACACAAATCATTCAATGGCCAGTTTAGATAGTTTAGAAGGACACTTGCTAGACTTCACGCAGACGACATTCAGTATCGGAGTAGCCCATATGTATTATTACGAAATATTTTAAAACAAAAAACAAACCCTCTAGAGTGAGACAAGTTGTTCGTTAAGTACGCTACTTTCTTATTCATACGTCATACATTTTGTGTTCAAGGTCTTACGCGAAATAACGCAATTGGTTGATTTTTCCAGCTTTGTTCATTGGGTTACTTGTTATTTCATTATTTTTTATACCATTCCATACATGGCGATACTTTTTATTATGGTATTGTAAATTATTCTTTTATTTATGTTTGGAACTAAATGTGTATCCACAATATACTGTTCAAGAGGATATGCCTTTCCTTCCTATTATGTTTCTTTCTTTAGTTGCGTTATCTATTGTTCATCATTTGTAATCATTACTTTCAAATATTTATACTTTTTACAGAATTTTATTTATTAATCTCTTTATTATATTAAACTCTGTTGTTCTCCTTCAATACTCAATTTCTACTTCGACGTTGTAGGTTTTTAACAGACGAGTTGCCTGGCTTGTTAGAACAGTAAATAGTAAATAGTTTAATACAATAAATGTTAGGCGTGTGCTAAATAATAACTACAGCAACAGTTGGATCCAATACGGTGGTACTGTGGAATGGCCTCCAAGATATCTAGGACTAACTCTACTGGACTATTTTTTGGGGCTACATCAAGAATATTGTATATAAACGACAAATCCACAAAAGGGAATAATATGAACATTCGTATGCAAAATCTCTTTGCCAGCGTTGGACATGAAAGTCTCCAAGACGTTCGGCAATCCTTTATCAACCGCATAAGACCGAGTCTTGAAGATTTTGAAGATTTATCAATATAGTTTATAGTGCATTTATGAATATAGGTGATCGATTAGGTATATATTTAACAAGCGAGTCTTCTACAGCTGGCGCCGCTTCTCGCATCCTAATTTCCAGCGTTTTCTGTCGAAGCAATCTTCAGTTGTTAGATCTCTGGCGGTCATTGCATCGTCGACATCGTCTCTCCAGGATCGTCTTGGTCTACCTCGTTTTCTTCTAGTTGGCGGAGTCCATTCTTCTATTTTTTTTGGCCATCTATTTTCCGGCATTCTCTGAAGGTGTCCATACCAGTTAAGTCTTTTGGCTTCGATTGTGTCTATTATGTCAAGATCGATTTCCATTTCTCTCCGAATATCTTCGTTTCTCACCCTATCTAATCTAGTGAGCTGGCAACATCGTCTCCAGTAGTTCATTTCCATGGCCTTAATTTTTAATTTGTTTCTTTGGTTTATTTCCCAGAGTTCGGCGCCATACAGTCCAATACTTTCTATTATTGTTTTATAAATTCTTCTTTTATTTTCTTTTGTTATTTTTTTATTCCATAATAGTCCGTGTAGCTGTCTGGTGGCTGATCTTGCTTGGCCAATCCTGGAATGTATTTCTTCGCTACTTCCTGCTTTTGATGTTATTTGGACTCCCAAGTACTTAAAATTGTCTGTTGGTTTTATAGTTCCCATTTCTATTTGTAGGCTTTCTGGTTGTTCTCCTACAACTAAGTACTCAGTTTTTTGTATATTAATTGTGAGGCCCCATTTGGTGTACTCATCTTCCAGTTTTCTAAGCATGTAGCTTATATCACTCTCGTCTTCAGCTAGAATGGCTTGGTCATCAGCGAAATGTATCGTGTACAATCTATTATCTCCGATTGGGATGCCCATATTGCAGCACTTTCTTCTCCACAGTGAGAGTGCCTCATTTAGATATATTTTGAAGAGTGTAGGTGCTATGCAGCAGCCTTGCTTTAGGCCCTTACTAATAGGAATTTCTCTAGTTAATCTATTTCCAGTTTTAATGTTTGCCGTCATATTTTTGTAGAGCGGTTGTACTGCTCTATCGATCGATTAGGTAAATAATATTTTACAACAATTAAACTAAATTTTACTTCCATACGATTTTTAATCTTTGTTTTCATTTTATTTTTTTTCATTTGATTTGGAGATTAGGTAGTTGTTAGTTAGTCTGCTATGACCTATATTTAACTTCTGGCGATTTAAAATTATCTCGCACCGAGATTCGGTTGAGGGCTTTACTATGTGTAGAATAGATTGTGAAACATTCCATTCGTTTTCCATTCATTTGTCACTTTTTCTTTAGGGAACGATTTGTAGTCGGAAACAGACACTAAGTTCACTAACACTGAAGAGAAATTGTGTATTGCTTCCCTGGCATGAAAATCTGCTTGTTTGTTGACTTGAAGTCCGATGTGTGATAAAGCATACTTACTGCCTCTCATTGTTTAGCGAATGTAATTGTTCTTTTATTAAATTACTTATGAGATTACTTGTATATATCTGTTCTATCGTATGTAATGCACTGAAAGAGTCGATAATTGCGACAGAATTTGGAATTTTTTGGGTGCGTATATATAAGGGCTTTATTCAATAGGGACTAATTCGGAGTTATAACTGCTGATCCCACGCCATCAGTAGTTTTGGATGAATCTGTATAGATATGACAATGATCTCGGAAAGAGGCAAGTATGTTGTAAAATAATTGAATAATTGTTGCATTGGGGTCTCAAGCTTATTGCATTTAAAAAGAGTTAGATAACATATTTCAGGAGGAAAGGTTCAGGGGGAGGTTTTTTTTTAATTTTTGATATTTTGATTTATTAAAACCTAGTGATGAAACTTTACATTTTTGCTTACGTTGGAAGCCTAATTACAGGCACCTAATCGATCATAACTCTGCTTAACGTCATAAGTATTAACAAACGTCCCTAGACTCTCCTACTTAACGAACTTTAATTTTTCAAAATGGATTTGAAAGTTTGAATGCCCATCTATGTATCATTAAATTTTCATATATCTGGAGACCTCAGTTTTGAACTCATAATTTTGAAAATTAATAACTTTTTTCAAGTTAGATTGCAAAATTAAGGTGCAAAAACTATTAGATCGACTATATTGAAATTTTATGTGATTATTGAACATATTAATCCTTAAATGCATCATGTTGTCGTTATGCAACATAGATATTTTAATCAAAATAAAAGCCGTACGGTGTTTGTTCGCAGCCGAATGCATGATGTTGACGAAGGGCATCGATGCGATCTATGTACTCAGTTGGCCAGTTGTGAAGTCAACGTCACCCGTTGCTTGATGAACTGTGTAACCTTATCTTTGCAAGTGTACTGTTGGCCCAATTTGTTGTTAGCGTTAGCTGCAAATTCACTTTGATTTATATTCACATGGATTGTGTCTTTGGAGTCTATGGTCTTCAACTTTTGCTTCAATGCCAGAACCTGTTCTCGCATTAATCAGTAACCATCAAATACAACAGTTGCTGTTCCATAATAAGTCTCTGTATTGCTCGCAAATCTCTTCAAAGGAAGCTGGGCGTCGCCAGACAACACGATGAAGAAGGTGACTCCATCAATGATGTATGACATTTTCCCTGAATCTAGGGTACATGATAATTATTTTGCCTCTATTCTACCAAAATATTGAAGATTTGCTTCCTTTTCTCTTCAAGCCAGAATATTCGAAAAAAGATGGAGGATACGCACATAGGTCATATTGAAATATTTCTTTAAGCCTCTCATCACTTGCAACTGTGCACACAATTCGATATAAGAGACTGTTTGGGTTTACACATACCGTGGCGGTATAAATTGCCATGGACCTGGTTATAGAGGCTAGGGACTTAACAGCTAACTTTCTTTTGAAGTGTATCTCATTAAATGTTTTGTTTTCAATGCCTTTCAAAGCCAGGGTTCTGACTTCAAACGCTTTATCACAGTTCACGTTTTTATCTCCTATAACTCCTGTTGATTAGGAAGAGAGTTCTGGTGTTTTAATGTATCAATACTTCGTCCTTTTTAATTTTTT